TCTCTCTCTCTCTCTCTCTCTCTCTCTCTCTCTCTCTCTCTCTCTCTCTCTCTCTCTCTCTCTCTCTCTCTCTCTCTATCTATCTATCTCTATCTATCTATCTATCTATCTATCTATCCATCTATCTATCTATCTATCTATCTATCTATCTATCTACCTATCTATCTATCTCTCACTCTCGACCTCTCTCGCTCGGATTGTTGAGGGAATCTGGACACCTCCCCCTTGCTCACGCCAAGCATGTCCTGCTCCCGCCCCTCTCCCTCTCTTCGAGCGCTTGAGCCACGAGATCCCTGCGCAAGCGGCCGTGCACAGTCTCACTTGTTGCCGGCTATGGTGTGGGCGTTCGGTGAAGCCCACCGTAACGCTCTCCCTGCCGTGTGCCCTCCTTCTCCCCGGAAACGCTCCGATCGCCTTTGCGTGCGTACGACCCCGCTTCTCTGCCTCCCCTGCGCACTACCGCAGACGCCCTCGGGCGTCCGTCTCGTGCCCTTGGCTGAGCCCCCCTTGAGCGCCAACATTCGAACGCAAAGCTCCTTGTGCTCGTATTCCCCTATACGCCTCCCCCACTCCTTCTCCTCCCCTCTTTTTATACTCTTTCCCTCTCCCCTCTTTTTATACTCTTTCCCTCTCCCCTCTTCTCCTTCGTCACTCTTTAGCCCTCCTTCTTAGGCCAATCAGAGATCAATACAACCATGTCACGCGCCGGCCACTTATAAGAGCCAGATACCGCTTTGCTGATGAGGTCACGTATCGGCCTGCTCATGAGGACCAACTGAGGTACACTGCTGCTGATGCAAATTCCCACAAACGGTTATCAAGAACCTATCTAAAAAAAAAGGTTGTCACGTATTGGCCTGCTGATTAGGTCCAGATACACTGCAGCTTCTGATGCGAGCTTCCACAACCAGTTATCAAGAACTCATCTCAAAATTGTGGTCACGTATCGGCCTGCTAATCAGGTCCAGATACACTGCTTCTGAGGTGAGCTTCCACAGACAGTTATAAATAACTTATCTCAAAATTGTGGTCACGTATCGGCCTGCTTATCAGGACCTGGTACACAGCTGCTGATACAAATTCCCACGGACGGTTATCAAGAACCCATCTAAATAAAAAGGTGGTAACGTACTGGCCTGCTTATCAGGTCCACTGCTTCTGATGCGAGCTTCCACAGACAGTTATCAAGAACTCGTCTTAAAATTATGGTCACGTATCGGCCTGCTAATCAGGTCCCAATACACTGCTGCTGATGCAAGCTTCTTGTGACAGTTATCAACAAACTATCTCCAAAAAATAGTAACGTATCGGCTTGCTTATTAGGTCCCGATACATTGCTGCTGATGAAAGTTCTCTCAGATAGTTATCAAGAAACTATCTCGGAAGTGCATCGGCCTGCTCATCAGGTCCAGATATACTGCAGCTGACACAAGTTCTCATAGAGAGTTACCAAGCAACTATCCCGAAAATGCAGTCTCGTGCCGGCCTGGTCATCAGGTCCCATTACGTTCGTGCGGTATCTTATCCCAACGCCTCCGACGGAGGCTTTCTGGTCTTCGCAGCTTAGTCCCTCCCAATGCTTAGTCCCATGCTTGTTTGACCTCGTGTCCCCACTTAAGCGATGTTGTAGATGTATTGTCGCTCACAGTCACTATCCGGGCTCCTCCTAGGTTCCCTCAAGCTTCAGGGTTCCCTGCTTAGGCACTAAGGTCTAGCATCCTCCAGGCTCGAGCATTCTGATTCTCACAGTCCGCCTGGCCCCACTTGCGGCCACCATCGTCCCCCCTCGCCCATGCTTGCCCAAGCGTTAGCACGAGGCCCTGGATCCCCGGAGTTTCCCAAAACCCCTTCAGTCACAGACAATCACACGTCAAAACCATGCAAAAATCAAACCACAAGGCCCAGGGTATTTCATTTTCTTTCTACGGAAAAACATTCAGCTGTTAGACAGCCACCCGACAACGTGTCGCAAGCAACCCACAACTTCGACTTATCCTCAACATCCTCCTCCTGCTTTGTTCGCTTCTGCCTGCTGCTGAGCGCAGTGAGCGGTTGATAGTGGGCGTCATCGCCATCCTGCCTTCCATCTCCGCTCCCACTGCTGCAGCGGACGTCATCGACCCTCCCCACTGTCGTGATGTTGTCCCGTCGGCGCCCTACTGCGCGGGCGGTGTTCTCGGCGCCCCTATAGCCCCTTGCTGCTGTGGCGGGTCAGCCTGACGTGGCTGCCCGTGCCAAACAGGCGCCTTGTCTGGCCGACCACCCCACTGACTGACACAATCGTCCCGCGACCGGCGCTCGCCATTGCGTGACCTGCAGGTGCGGCTCGCCTGTGGACGAGAGCCTCGCCGATGATAATCCGTTGCACCCCATGTGTTTTTGGGACCACTCCGACTGTAGCAGCGACGACGATTTGTTTTACAGCCGCCAGCTGTTCCTTGGACACCCCATCTCGCCTGAAACCCAATTGCATGGCCCCTCCTGTCCCTTGCACTTCCGCCACCGTGTTTTCTCCTTCCCAGAAGTCGTCGTCGTACTCCGAGCCCTGTGTGTACGCCCGTACGTATATGAGCCCTACGTACTTCCGTACGACCGTACGTACGGGGCCCCGGGGGCCTGTACGGGCCGTACGTACGAACTTCCGTACGTCCGTTCGCGGTCTTTTCGGGGGGGGTCGACCGCGGTTTTTGGGTGGGTGGGTGTCGGGTGTCGTGGGGAGTCCATCTGCAAAAAAAAA